CCTCCGTCAATGGCGCATGGAAAGAGCTATGTCTTCCTTGTTTGATAAAGTCTGGATGCAAAGTTTGGCTTGTAGGGATGGGCAAGATAATTGAACAGACAGGTGGGCCAGGTAGGCATGGATGAGTGAGAGTAGTGGAGTCATGACAGCCTGAGCACAGGGAAGTGAGCAAGCCTTTCAAAAAATGTTTTGTAGGAGAGAATAATTAAAGGCATGGAGGGAGGTGGAAAATGGGATCAAGCACAACATCTACAATACAGGTAGATTGTGCCATGTTAACCTGATAGTTAGCTCTGATATCCGCATTTGTGGACAAAAGTAGATGTAATCTGTCTGGACCTCAGGAAAGCATTTGCTATAGTGCCTCTTGGGAAATGGGGAATTAAGTCGGTAAAGATGGAGTTTAATAGATTTGTAAAGAGGGCAGAGAACTGGTCAAGGGGAGACCTCAGTGGGCAGTGAAGAAAGGGGAAGTGTTAGGCTGGAGGGAGGTTATTAGTGGAGATCATCAAGGATTGGTCTCACGACCAACATTGTTTAATACTGTCATTAATGACCTTGGCAGAGAAAAGTAGATGTGTGCAAATGGAATTTGCTGATGATAGAAAGATTGCTCTATCCTAGGGGAAGAATGGGATGACCTTGAAGACAGTAGTAATAGAAATGGAATGAAATTCAGTTGCACAAAATGCAAGGTCTAGAGTCCAGACTCCCATGACTTTGTGATTTACTGCAGCATACCCTAAATGCTCTCACAGCCCTCTGGCACCAGCCCTGATCGCTGGGGCAGGGTGGAGTCCCAGACCTACCCAGAACGCGCCGGTACAAGCCCTTGTACAAAACGGTGGATGCTAAGAGACCAGCGTAGTTGGCCCCAAGGTTGGATGGCCTGGTACCAGGTTAGCGGCAGCTGTCGGAGGCGCAGGTCAGAGGCTGGTTCCACTGGACAGGGGTGTCTGTCTGCAGCATAGGTGGGCATACTAAACTTCAGCTAGCTTTTGAATCCAGGAGCAGACTGGAAAGAGCATTTAAATTCACACATTATGGAGGAGACCTGGTGCTGTCAACAGTGTAATTCATGGTCCGGCGGCTTGTAATTATGTTAGTTAAATGAGGAGGATCCCATGTCGAGAGCAGTGAATTAGGCTGAATTACAGCTCCTGTTCAGAATTCCTAATGGCCAGTCAGGGTCAATTAATCCCCGTCATCAAAGACTCCGGTGCAAGTTGCCAGGGCCCAGCTTCTCTGAAGGTTGGACCTCAGGGGGCTGAAGTAGGCTGTCACAATCAGTGTCACTCTTGGGCTACAGCATCTTTCAAGGGAGCAGGGCCTGCAAAACTCAGACCTCATTCCTACTACCCTCCACCCGAAGCAGTCCGTGATATTTCCTTTCCTTCCACAATGAAAACAGCAATAGGAAGGCCCTGAATGCACTATGTTCCTCTTCCTCAGACCCAGGCAAATACAAGGAACCCACTTCCAACAAAGCCAGCGAATAAACCCCGTCCCCAGAGAGCTGCAGAAGACCAGACTTGTGCTGGTGCAGTCTTGTATTCCCCCAAGGGCACCAGCCAGCAGAACAACCTCACGTCACCGCAAGAAGGTCAGGTGGGTTTACTGCCTGGCTGACAGCGGGACCTAGATGAATGCAAGAAAACTCAGCATGAAACGTGCAGAAACCCTCCTCATGGATAACTCGCAACCTGTTGCCAGGCAGTAGCACTGCAGACCAGACCAGCTGGAGATTGAGAAGACCTGTTTGAACATCCATGGCCGGGCCCCGCAAGGAAGTTACAGCCCCTGCCTCAGCAGGGAAGATCTCAGATATCCCACAGCTGGAGTCCTACGTCTCAACCCCAGGTCTGTTTGATCACTGCCCTGTGGCTCCCTGCTGGAGACGAGCACCAAGCAGAGAGTTGCAGAGCAGATTCTGTTTGGGAGAGGAGCTTAAATGATTTCCTTTGATGTCGTTTTGCTCTGCAGCGGTTCTTCTCTTCTGCACTCCGAGCACAGATTTCTATTCCCAAGGCACATGGGCACTGCCTCCCAAAAGGGGCCACAGTCTCTCTGGCTTTTAGCATATTGCACTTGGTCTTCTTGCCCCTATAAGAATCATGGCTTCCCTTGGGCAATGAGCAGAAGCTGTGGGTTCCCCAGTGCTGCCAGCGTAAGGACAGCTGTGAACAGAGCCAGGTGCTTGCAAACCCTTGTTCTTTGGCCGTGGTCCCACTTTTGAGTTTCTGTCTCTCCTTAACACAGGACACCACTTCAGAGGACAACAGCTGTGAACAGCCAGTCAAAGCCTGCAGCCACTCAGCAAGCCAACAAGCGGTTTCAATGATAACCACGCAGCTGGTGAGACCTCCAGAAGTGGGAGGTTGCACTGAACAAAATGGTGCTTCATAACCTGTGCCTTCCCTCAGTGAATAACTGGGAAAGCCCCCCCGGGTCACATCCAAGGATGCACAGATGGTCCCTGGGAGCCATGAGAGCTCTCATGGGGTCCATGATTACCTGAGAAGCATGTGCTTCAGGTGGGAAGGGCTTTTTAATTGTAAGCCACTGTGCTTGTGGGGAACTGACTGACACAGGAGCCATGTGGGATGCACTAAGATGGAGCCAAGTGTCACTTTGCCTTAAAGGCCTGTAAGACCATGGAGCTAAAAGACGTTGCATCAAAACTGCCAAACAAGGTGCACGGTGCTGGATCAGGCCGAGCAGCCGATCTGAAAAGCCAGCCTGCAAGCAAGGCAGGTGGCACCCATGGACTGCAGCCTCAGACTCCATTCCCGCTGGCTTGGCATGATGTTTTGTCAGGGCACTGCTTAAACGTTGCTGTGTTCTCCCTCCCATTCTCTGCCAAGCCCCTCAGAGTCGGGGAGGACAGAGCTAATGAGAAGTTCCAGCTATCGCATCTGCTTCCTCCATACCTTCTGTCCTCCCCCAGAGATTGGGCTGGATTTTGCGAGGGACTTGGCTCTCTCACTGGCTGGCAATATTTTTCCCCTCCTTGTAAGGGCATACCATCGGTCGTCAAATCAGCGAAGCTCATTCAAGCAGCTTCTCTTTCACGGTGTCTGCCCTCGAAAATTGAGCAAGGTTTCTGTGCTGTCTTACTTAACACGCACAACTAACTGCCTATAAGCTGAACTGTGTGGGTCGGATTCGCAGCTGGTGTGAGCCATCCTTTTTCCAGTGACTTCAGGGAATCTCAACCAGTTTAGGTTTGCTCAGGATCTGGCCCTTCAAATCCCCAAATTGCTTTGCTGCTCCACTGAGATGCATAGAAGCTTCTTTTTTCTTATTTTTAAATTTCATCTGCCTCCCCTCTCCTCCCCCCGGTATAAAAAACTGCAGATCCGCACAGCAGCATTGCAATAAGGCTCTTTTCTGCTTTTCATCTGGATAACGTGAAATGGGGTTTGGGTTGTGCAATTTAATATCCATGGCTCTGTACTCAGTGTCATGAAGGGGAGATTTTTATCCCTGTGGCTCAGGATTAGCTGGGAGATGAGTGTTGTAGCACCCCCTACACGCCACACTCCCTATGAAGAGACATAGAGCCGGGAGGCCTCTGTGATTTTCTGTTCAGCCTCTTGCAAATATTGCTCTCAGTAAATAAAGCAGCAAAATCCCTCTAGATCATCACCAGGTAGAAAACCAATAGGCAGGCAGGGAGAGATGGATCATATACCAGGGAGGTCTTATGGGTACTGTCTCCTGATGATATGTGGAGCTGGGAGTTAGGACTGTCTGGGGTTTCGTGTCATGCCCAGCGCCAGGCGAGCTGTCCGAGTACCTCCGCCACACACTTGCTGTATGCCATCAAGCAAGTCATTTCTCTCTTCTGTGCCGCAGACTCCTCCAGACAATTGGGACAATACCACTTACCTCACAGGGCCGTTGTGAGGGTTAGACACACAGTGTCAAGCACCTTGAGCCTCAGGTGGGCTGTATTCTGCAATTTCCTCTTATCAGAGCAGCACCTCTGTGATAGACATAGGAATCAGACTGGGACAGGAAGAAAAGCAGAAGCAAGGGGAGTGCTCCCTCAGGGCTTCCTGCTTGCTGTTCCCCACGTTGGGAAGAGTTGGGTTTCACTCCATGTGGTTGGGCTCCCCATCATCGAAGCCACGAGCATCCTGGGCACTTAACAGCCTCCCCACTGGCTGTCTCAGCAGTGGCAACCTTTGCCCTGGCAGTTGGTAGCCAGGATTACAGTGGAAACTCGAAGGAAGCACACAGCGCCATGGCTGAAATATATTCGCCCCTGGGCTCACCATGCAGCACTAAATTCACTTTAATGAGAGAATGACGTTTTATTTTTTCTACTCCTAATAGAATATGACAAGTTCCGGCCCAGCTCTGTAGTTTAAGCTGGAGAAGCTTGTCCCTGGCTAGTATAGGGGCTCAGTTATAACCAACCAGCATGAGCCCAAGGGCTTGATTCTCCTCTCACTTGTGTCAGGAGTGTCCCCTGACCTCAGAGGAGCTGCCCCAGGACAAAGTAGTGGACGGGAGAACCGAGCCCCAGGACCCTGCTTTTCCTGATGTACATCGCTGTAGCCGGTGGAGTGAGGCTGTATTAGGCGAGTTCCTGAAATCAAACACCGCTAGCCTAGCAGCTTGACCCTATGGCAGGGCCTGCGTGCCAAAGAGCTGTACTGGTGCCTTGTCCTGGGGATGTATGCTCCACAGGGCTCACAAGGTTAACCAAAGAGCTTTGTTGGGTTTGTTTCTTGAGCTGGGGCATGTGACTGGTGCATATTGTTGAAGATGGATTGGAGAATGGATGTCTGGAAAGAGCTTGTCTTTGTCTGTGAATGGATGCATGTCTTTGTCGATGTGCCGCAGAACAGTGCACACAATAAACATTTATACATCACTGGCTCAGGCGTGTCTATCAACCCAGTGGATTTAAGGGACCGCTTGGGATGGAAAGGTCCGAATAAAGCCTTGTCTGCACTACAGTACTGAGCACGTCCTCAGCCAGTGGTAGCAGATCCCTCCAGGCAGCCAGCAGAGTCTCTCCACCCCTGACACATGGCGTACGACTTCTGCCACCACCCAGCAGCTGGCAGAAAGCATGGGAGACACCCCCAGGGCTGGGGCTCTTTGGGTGCTACAGGGATACAAATGATAAAATAACAAGAGCTGGAAATCTGCTTGGCAGCTGCCTGGGATGAGGGGATTTAGTCAGGACAATTGCCCTGGTGTCAGCAGAAGGGCACTGCTATGCCTGGGGAATACCTTGCTCCCCTACTTGCTCCTATGTGCTCCTGCTGCTGCTTTGATGTGGTGAGGACTCTAGAAGGATTTTCTTGATCTCCTTTCCTGGGTCCCTCCTCTGAGAGCTGATCCTCCCAGGCCCTGATCCTTGAACCATGACTTACTCCTGTGTCAAGTGGGTGCAAAGAGCTAGTGGCAGTTTCTACCTACTGAGCACTGGTGGAAGTCACCACACCAGAAGTGAAGTCTGGCATCCAAAAAATGTCACACATCTTCCCCCAGGAGGTGGCACTGTGACACCAAGCTGAATATTGGGTAGCCCGCAAGTAGTGCTGTTAGCCAGACTCCATTGAATTGCCAGTGCTAACCAGGCAGGGACTTCAGGGGCATTCACAGCAGCCCCTTTACTCAGGATTTCCCAGGTTTTAATGCAGACTGTTCCTTAGAGCAAGCATTTTGCCTGTAGACTGCAACTACAATGTTTTTCACCACGTCGGGATCAGGGGATCCACTCAGCACCTCCCTATGGCTCAGAAATGCGGATTCCACCTGTTTTACCACTGAAGGCAGGTGACAGGATTCTGGTCCTCCCCAGAGCCAGAGGCTGTCGGATGGGAAGCAGCACCGCTATGAAACAGCTGAAGGCAAGGCATGCCAAAGGATGCTTCCCCTGCTGAAAGTGGAAGAAGATACAGTTGTCCATGGTGTTGTGTGAGACGGGCATCCGTATAACCCACACCCCAAAACTCTCTGGACACATTAAACAGGATCTTCACGTCACCAACACCACATGTGCCCTTTCCACATGCTGATTCATCCGTCCATCCAGCAGCTTGGAAAACCCACCAGGATTATAGCATGCCATGCTATCATATGTAGAACATGCTTGCTACATGCTTACTCATTAATAGCTTTTTGGTATTGCCTTTGGATGAAACAGCTCTTTGTCTCTTTCTTTGCAAGGCAGGAAATGCCAGGGTGCACAAAGGAGACAGGGGAGACAGAAATGAGACACAGCCGGAGGAGGAGGGAATGTGAGTGAAGACAATATAATCACACAGAGCAATGAGCAGCTGTGATGTAACAGCTGCCCTCCACGCAGCGCATCCCCTGCTTGGTGACAGATTCCTGGATCCAGAGCAACGTGCCCACGGCCGCCGGGAACAATGCCCTGTGGCACTGAGATCTCAAGAAGGGAAGCGAAAAGGGCACGGTGAGTCACTGCAAAATAAGCAAGGATGAAAGCCAGCTGTGAAGTTCTGACCATCCTTGGGCATATATCCCAGGGGCACTGGCTGACTCAGACATAACCTCTTCCCCATGCCCTGAGGAGAAGGATTAGCATGGTCCCTGTTACCGAGGAATATCATTGTCTGAATCCTCAACCGTCCATGAAGTGCAAGGTCACCATGAATTGTTCTCCGTGACATCCCCTTGGTCAGATCTCTGCAACGAGAGTCTGTGCTCTCACCTCATTGCCCTGAGTCAAATGTGACCATGGAGAGGGCCTGACCTTCACATGGGGCCATCCAGAAGGTCTCTGCCATTCATGTAAACTGGTGTGCAAGCCATTGGAAGGGCAGCTTCATCACCTGATGCCATTCAAATGTCCACGAGGGGGAGCTGCGTGACCACAGGTAACAGCATGGAGGCTGCTTTGGTCCCAGAAGATGCCTGTGACACTCTCCAAGGGATGGGGAAGCACTTTCTGCCAACACTCCCTGTGTCCTCAGAGGGGAGCTCCCAGCACATGGCTCATGAGATCCCTCTGGGAACAAGGGGTGGGGCTGGGCAAAGGACACCCCCTTTTCTACATCCAGCTTTGGATGGGGAAGGGGTCTAGGCAATCACAACCCCCCCCCCCACGCCCACCCCGTAGATTCTCAGCAACCACCAAACTATGGATAGAGACCCCAATACTCTAGCCACAGTGATAAGGCATTTCCAAGGCTCCCAGCAACAGACACTGCTGGTCCCAGCATCCCTCCCATCCTGCAAGATCATAAGCGCAATAGTTGTAACTGGCAGTGCTTTGACCCTCTGTTGCCCCTTCCCCAGGGATCTTGGAGCACTTTGCATTCCCTAACAAGCCTAATCTGAAAGCAGGACGAGCCAGAAGTTACAGCAACACAATGCTATGTTCCCTATGGATCCCAGAACCAGCCTGACAAGCACTGCTGGGACAACAGCCTGGCTTGAGAATGCCTCCCAAGCCCTGTGCACTCAGGTGACTATTGCTACCTCTGTGACACCTCTCCTAGTCTCCCCCAGGAGGGGTTAAGAAGGACCCCAGCTTTAGCTCTATTGCTCTAGCTCCACGATTCTCCATCAGGGTGCTGCAGCAATCCTAGGTGCTGTGAGATCATTTCATGGGTGCTGTGGTACAGTGGGGTGTGCAAACACCTACACATAATTCACAAGATAACCCAGAGATACTAAATAGGAATCGATGGTATCAAAAATGTTCTGACCTGGGGTCTTTTTGAGCTCTTTGCAACAGAAGAATTGCTCTGTTATTTCTCCATAGTCAAAAAAGAAGGGAATGCTAAGAGCCGGCATTTTCTAAGAGGTGCCTTGAGCCTAAAACGGTTGAGACCACTCCTCTAGATACTTTAGTCCAGTGGGACCCCACCACCTCTGTCCATGGGCTGTTTATGACAGTCAGTCCATGCGGTCTGCACTCTGAGGGCAAAAGCTTTGATATTATAGTCACCATGGTAGCCAGGTGCTTCTGTTATCAATACTAATACATACAGGACGGTGCCCACGTTGCTTGCCAGGGGAGGTGTAAACACTAAGGCTCAGTCAGCTGTAACTGTTGATACCAACCACTGGTTGCTGACCCACTCGGAGATCCCCAGAAACAGCCCAAAACAAAAACACCGAGCCAGCCACTCTGCCAAGAATTAATGAGCCGTGCACTCAGCTCAAAGGCCGCTGGGCTCATGCTTTGGCATTGCACCAAGGAGGGCAGGCTTGAAAGGTGGTGAAGTCCACTGAGGACACCAGGACAATGAGTTCAGCAGAGTGAAAAGCGTAAACACCAGCTCCAGGTGGGATGGAGATAGGTTTGGACCTGAGAAGAGAGGAGGTGAGAGGCTGGTGCCAAAGACAAACAGAGGCCAAAGCTGGTTTTCACAGAGACCAGTAGAAGGCCTTCCATGGGTGCCAGCAGGCACTGGGTGCTGCCTCTGGAGGAGATGCATGGGCAAGGGGTTGCTTTCCAAGGTTCGCACTGAATAGGTTACTGGAAGAACTTTGGAGAGTATGTTGGTGCCGATCCCTGTTATAAGCAGGTGCTTGATGGTTGAGTGGTTGGTTGCATAAAAGCCTCAAGGCAAGCTATGATTTTGATTTGGGCAAGTGCTTTCCAAACACCTCCTTCCTGTCCCTGCTCTGAAGCACTTGCAGCTAGAGAAGGCGAGAGCACACAGGAGGGGAAGGATTGATGGTCAAGAGAGCGATGTATTCTACTCCCCCACTAAAATCAACCTGCAAATGACCCTGAGACCCAGACATGGCCTGGCATTTCCATGGCTCCCGGCAACAGCTTCTACTGGTCCCAGCATCCCTCCCAGCCAACAAGATCGGCCCGATAGCTTTTCCTTGTCCACAGCATTACAGATCTGGGTCTTGAGAAGGGCCTTGAAGGAGGAGAGGGTGTTGGGGGTCAGTTCCCAAAGGGCTTTCTATGAGGAAGGGGCCATGTGGGAGATGGTATAAAGGCAGTTGTGAGAGGGGCTGGCCAATGTGAGAGGTGCTGGGGTTGCTGATGGAGCAGAGGTGGGATCCAGCCAGGAGCAGACTTCAGAGGAGCCATGCAAGCCGGACCATCTGGTTAAGCTTCAGACAGTGGAAGAGAAAGAGCTGTAAGAGGGCCAGGGTCAGAGTGATATGCGGCTGCATCCTCAACAACTAGGAGGAAGGAGAGGTATGAAAACCTGGGGGCTTGAGGGAGATTTTCAATAGCATGCAGAAAAGAGGGGTGCCTTAGAGCTATGTCACATCAAGATTGATGATTCCTCCTAATCCTGACTGTCTTTAAGGTGTCTCTTGGGGCCCAGGCCTGACTAACACTTGCTGCTAGGGTCAGGCGAGGAAGGAGGTTGTGGGCCTGGCTGATAGGAAAGGGTGGCCAGCACAGCCATGCGCCCCCAGCTGCCGGGGGCATGCACCGTTCATGGGTGGTGCAATGCAACAGGCAAGAAAGGAGGCGAGGGGCCAAGAAGCAGGGAAGGAGGTCAGGAGATGGCTCTTAGTCAAATGAAGTCAGAGCTGACAGCCAGTCACTGGGGACAGGCAGAGATGTGGGGCAGGTTGGAGAGAGACCAGCCAGGGTGGAAAGACAGGCTTCTGAATCACCGATGCACAGAGAGGGCAGCCGCAATCGTGTCCGGGGCAGAAACTACCAGGGGGAGATGAAGCCACCGAACGCCTGTCACCAGGCAGCTGACGCCTTCAGCAATCAGCAGGGCAGCCCGAATTTAGACGAGTCCTAGTAGCACCCCCAGGCCTCTCAGCCCCCCGCTTTAGATCCTGAGGACCCCAGCACACGGTCCGGTCAGCAGGCACCGTGGGGTCCGACACAACAGCAGGAGGGTGGCCCTGGAACGCCTGCCTGCCCCGAGAGTCCATGCATCAGCCTCGGGGACCAGCCCGCAGGTGGGCTGCTACGGCAGAGTGCCCGTGCGAGGGTGTTGCTGCTGGGACAGGCATGTGTGTGAAGAGTTGCGGACACTGAACCAGTTGCACCAGTCTCTTCATGTGGCTGCTCCCAGCTCCCTCGTTTTCAGCTG